GTCTGCGTCTCTGTCTGCGGCGTCTGCGTCTCTGTCTGACGCGTCTGCGTCTCTGTCTGACGCGTCTGCGTCTCTGTCTGACGCGTCTGCGTCTCTGTCTGACGCGTCTGCGTCTCTGTCTGACGCGTCTGCGTCTCTGTCTGACGCGTCTGCGTCTCTGTCTGACGCGTCTGCGTCATTCTGCGTCTCTGTCTGACGCGTCTGCGTCATTCTGCGTCTCTGTCTGACGCGTCTGCGTCATTCTGCGTCTCTGTCTGACGCGTCTGCGTCTCTGTCTGACGCGTCTGCGTCTACGCGTCTGCGTCTGCGTCGTCTGCGTCTGACGCGTCTGCGTCTGCGTCTGCGTCTGCGTCTGTTTGTGTCGTGCGTCTGCGTCTGCGTCTGCGTCTGTTTGTGTCGTGCGTCTGCGTCTGCGTCTGCGCCTGTTTGTGTCGTGCGTCTGCGTCTGCGTCTGCGTCTGTTTGTGTCGTGCGTCTGCGTCTGCGTCTGTTTGTGTCGTGCGTCTGCGTCTGCGTCTGTTTGTGTCGTGTGTCTGTGTCTGCGTCTGTTTGTGTCGTGTGTCGTGTGTCTGCGTCTGCGTCTGTTTGTGTCGTGTGTCTGCGTTTTTGTTTGTGTTTGTGTTTGTGTCTGTGTCTGTGTCTGTGTCTGTGTCTTCTGTGTGTGTCTGTGTGTGTCTGTGTGTGTTTGTGTCTGTTTGTGTCTGTTTGTGTCTGTTTGTGTTTGTTTGTGTCTGTTTGTGTCTATGTCTGTTTGTTGTCTTTGTTTTTTGTTTTGTTTTTGTTTCTCGTTTTGGCTTTGTTTTTGGTTATGGTGTTACAAAGGGTGTTATAAAAGGATATTTAAATGATAAAACTTAGGCTAATGACGAGATGGTGAAATTAACCGATCTTGGTTTAATTTTGGAGGTTCACATATATGATTTTTAGGTTGATCGAAATTATCTTGAATTTATGAAGGATATTTTTTGGAAGATTAAAAATATGATTTAATTGGATATTTTATTCTTATTTTGATTGAAATATTGTGTTTATTTTGTGAGTATTTAAGGATATGAGAATTGATTGTTATGATTTGTTTGCTTCTGGTCGATGGTGTTTGTATATATATTGTAGTAATTATATATGCTTACTTGAGATATATTATTGCGTTGTGCATCGTAATATTTTAAGAAATATAATGAGAAATTCTATTTACAATTTTTTTTTAGATATTTGGAATTTAATATAATATGTAATTTTTCGAAATATTTTTCCTGGGTAGGATCTAAGGCAAAGGCTCAAAATCGTAATTATCTATTTTCTCGAAATATTCCGAACTTGCCTTTTCGTCAAGCACCTGCTCGGTCTGCCTATTTCTGTCTTTATGAATATAATCATATATATCTATTCATAATTATTTAAATTGGAATATTTTTTTATTTTTTTTATATTCTGATTTTGTTACTCTCCTGCCATGGGTTTCACCTCGCACGCTGCTATTTATAGCAACGATCTTAAATGATTAATAGATTTCTATATAGATATTTGTTCAACTATTATACTCTTATTATTCAGATTTAATGGGTTTATATAGCTTATAAGGCTTATGAAATTTATGATTAATCATTAGAAATATTTAATTGTATAGATAAATTATATTTAAATCAATATCCGAAAATTCATTTAAATCTAATATAAATCCAAAATAATCAATAAATGAATAGAACCAAATATATATATAATCAATATATAGATATATAAATAAATATATAATAATATAATATTTATAAATACTATAAATATATTCAATCTATAATTATTATTTTTAATCAAATATATTCATATTAAATATATTTTATACATTTCCATAATACTAAAATTTGGTAAATATAAATAATTTATATTATTAATATTGTATTAAATAGTAAAAAAATAATATTATGCAAATCAATTTCTATTTATATATTTGTTTCTTATAATTTTATTTATTCAAACAAATTTTCGATTTCTTAATATATCTATTTCATTAATTTCCTATATTTTTATTTTTTATAAAATATTTCTATATATTTTATATATATATAATAATTATTATATATTATTTATATTTTATATTCAAATTAATATTCCTCAATTATAATCTTTATTATATTTAATAAATAATTATTAATAATATTATATGATTTTTATTTTATTTTTATATATATAATTATATATATATCATAATATATATATATATATATTCAAAATTTCTAAAATCAAATAATAAAATAATTCAAAAATAAATCATAAATTTATATAATTATATAAATTATTTCGATTCTTCCAAATACAAATTATTATCTTATAATACAGTTTTTCTTTAAACAGAATAATAAATTCAATAAAATATTTATTTATTGTTTAATTTAATTTATATATATAAATATTAATAAATTATTTTCAATTAATTAAATTATGTTTTGCTTTTGTTAAATGCCAAAAAGAATTCGGCAAAAACAAGGGTCTGCAAGATTCAATATAATGCCAACATATCTTTATATTTTATTTCATATAAACAAAAATAATATATAAATATATATTACTAAAATTATATAAGAAAAATAAAATATTAAAAAAAAAATATCAAAGAAAAAACAAAAATAGGAAAAAAAAACAATAACACTAATAATATTTTTTATATTAAATTATTTCCAAAAACAATTATAATATTAAAGATTTAGAGATTTAAAATTATTAATATTAATTTAATTCATTTATTATATCAAATTAATATTATTTATAGAATTCAAATAATATAACAATTCTATTTTTACATATAATTTATATATCATTTCAATATTCATTCTCAAAAATATACCTTCTTAAAAAAATAATAAAAATAAACAAATACAATAATCAATATTAATAATATAATCAACAATAAATTATTTTATTCATATCCATATCTATTAAAATAATACAAATAAATCATAAAATATAATTAAATAAATTTTAATCATTAAAATCAATAAAACATCATTATAAACATATAATATTATAATATTATAATATTATAATATATTAATATATCATATTTAACCCTAATTTATTTTAAACCATATAAGTTCCCAATTAATTCAAAACACATAATAATCATCCTAACACATAATTTATATAAATTCCATATGTATATATATATTAAATATTCATCGCCTATTATCAAACATATATTCTTTATATAATTAATATTTAATTCTCCAATTTAAATAATAATAATTATTTTTATTATTATTCTGATTTATATTATTATCAATTGTACATCAATAGTAAAGCCAATAATATTTTATCCAATCTAGAATCCTAGGTTTATTTTATCCCATACCACATTTTAAGACACATTAAGTCAGGCGAAGCGCTTGGCCAGACCTTTCCAGACCTCCCTGCGCGAAATCGGGAGGCAGGTCGCGGCTTCCAAACCCCCACTGCAACTGAAGAATGATCTTCCCCTTCGCGCCTAACCCCCAGCACCCCAGTCGCGCACCCCCAGTCGGGCACCTGAAATGCAAAATTTTCTCCACACCGATTTCGGCAGCTCACTTAGACGGTGAACTCATTGTCCACCTGTCGCGCTGTCAGATCCATTTGGACAATGACATGCATTTGCCGTGCAATCCCGGACCGGCTGGGCATGGACATAGCATGAAGGCCAGCTTAGCAACTGTCGCAAATGTTGATACCAAATTTGCTAGAGCAATTGTTGGCAATGGGACCTTCACAAAACCACCAGCGGTCAACATCCTATATCAACAAAACCAGCGGCAATTCAGCAAAGCGAGACGTTCCTCCAAAGCATCTGCAAGTCAAAGACCTACTTCCTCCGTGGCCAGCGGTCAGCAACTGCTCCATGGGAAATTGAAGCCATGTGGCTGTGGGTCAAAAATAGGTACCCAAACCCTGGCAAATGGAAACAGTGACCAAAACCAGTGGTCCAATTCCTGGTGGTTTAATTTTGACCCATATCCATGTGGTGAGAACATAGCTTGGAAACAGTAACCAAAACCTGTGGTCCAATTCCTGGTGGTTTAATTTTCACCCATACCTATGTGGTGAGAACATAGCTTCACAGAAGCAAATATTCCATACACGCCATCTAGGCATGTTCATTGTTTTCCGTCTCAATCGAGTCATGACGAATTGCAGGGGCTTGCTATTCAAGCCACGGTTTTTGGATTGCCAAGTGCTGCGGCATAGTCTTCACTTCGCAGTGTTGACAATTTGCGCCGCAGGTAAAACAATGTGAGGCTGTGACAGGAAGAAACTTGGTCCATTGAATTAAGGGACGCTGCCGCGATGTTCCCAAAGTTCATGGTTTCTCAGGTGACAATAATTAGTCATAGCCCCTAGATAAGTGAGTTTCTACACATTTTCCTCAGGGAACATGCGAGTTTTTCCGGGCCGAAGTCACTGGAGTTTGAGGATTCCACGGCACAGCTTAGGAGCGGTCCCGGGGGATTTGTTCGCCAGGGCTTACTTGCCTTCCATTTGCTTAAGCCCCCTGGAAAAACATCAAATATTCCAGTAGTGATAGATTCCCTTTAAAGCCAGTAAGGGAAAATTACACATATTCTTAAGCAAATGGACGTTACGTTGTGCAGAAACGTGTCCGAGCAGCATAGCAGCATGCCACCGCCTACGGACCGAGGTCAAAAAAGGCGAATGCCGAATGCCGCTTCGCAGTATACGGGATTTTTGACCCATGGCCAGATAACCTCAGTGGGTCTACTGAGGGCTCACATGGTACGCCATGCGGTAGAGGTCAGGGGGCGACAGTGGAACACCAATGACCTCAGCATGTTTCTTATGGAAACACATCGCCACACGTTGTTGAGACACAGTGTCCATGCTGATCATCACTTTACCATCGCTGAGCCCCGCCAAATCCAGAAGGCAGTCCTGCAATGCACCGGGATTCTGGTTGTGTGCAAACCATGCGTTGACATCCTCTTCGGCTTCCTGGAGTGAGAGCTGCAACTCCTCGAACTCATGGACAGTGTTGTGTCCGGAGATGCAACTCCGAACCCAATGAACGCTGCCACAGCTGACGAGAATCAACAGGATGAGCTCAATCAGGCACATGACGATGAGGCCTCCAAGCGTTTTACAGCTAAGGGTGAAGCGAACAGCACATGGGATCACGAAGAAGGCACCATTCCACCAAAAGAGGTATGGTATGCGTGTTCCGCTGCCAATATTGCGCAAGAACTCCTCAACACCGGTATCTGTTTCAATCTCCCCCACGCATAGCAGACCAATGACGCTGACAATCGTTGAGCAAAGGTAACCAAGGCTGCTAAGGACATAGCATATGAGGGACAGGTCATGTATGGCCGGCATCGTGCTCTGCACAGAGTCTTCACCTTGCTGCTGTCCGATCCAGCCATCCAAATAAGCAAAACCACTTCCAACGTAGTCCTCCTCCAGCCAATCCGTGACGTTGTCGAAGGCCATTGGCACCACGATGGTGAGCATCAGCGCACTAATAAGACCCATGTTGGTGCATTCGTTCACCAAGTTCTCCCGCGCAGAACTTGACGCACCCTTGTCCTCCATGACAATGTTGTCCGTGAGTACCAAGAAACGGCCAGTGACCACTGAAACACATGAACTGAGAACGCCATCTGGAGTCTTCTTGTTTCCGGTCTTTCCCACCAGCCTCTGGGGCAAGTAATCTGCCACACGGCCTATGACTGAGCTCTTTGATTTCTTCTCCGTTTTGGCTGGCACCTCAACCACCTTCGCTTCATCGGACGGCATTGGCATGGCTTTCACGGGAGGCACGAGACGTCACGTTCGGCACTACACTGACCCTTCAAGCCACATCTCCAGACGCAAGGATTCACAAAGCGATTCTGGTGCTGGTCATGGCCGACATGGACATGGCCCCAGACGTGGCCAGCTTAGAGCTGCCGCATTAGACAGCTGTCTCCATGAGGGTGAAAGAAAAAAGCAAGTGATCACTGCAACTCTGTTCTGGTAACCTTTGTCGAAGCATAGAAGTATAAACATGCCAGTTGCACCATTTGGTGCTGCCATTGTCCACGAAGCCGCCGCGTGCGGTTGATTGTAGCTGGTACCGTCGTCGGAACCTGGTAGTTTCGTCCGTTATTGATCATTTTTACATTTCTTAATGCATGTTTCATTTGTTGCAGAGTGTTTCCTTGTTTTCATGTAGCATGCATCCACGATCGCTGCATGCATGCTGGGATCAGAACAAAACTTATTCCTGAAGATCAAAAGACACTTATTCGGGGTCTAAAACAACATCTTCTTATATATTCATTATGAAACATAACAAGTCAGAGGATCAAACAAATATAAATGGCAGGCGCAGCACTTTCGGAAGGTCAGCTACAGATTTCGTGGCAAAGGGAGAAAGGGAGAAACGTTAGAGAGAAAAAGAGAGGCAGAGAGAGAGAGAGAGAAGGAGAGAAAGAGAAAGAGAAAGAGAAAGAGAAAGAGCAAGAAAAAGAGAAACAAAAGAAAAAGAAACAAACAACCTTTGCTAATTACTATGTTGCAGAATCAACTTGTGAACCCTGCGGAGCCTCTATTTCGCGGGAAATCCACATTGCGTGAGGAAATCCCCAACAGCTTGCGTCAGAATGTTGCTTGGGGAACTCAGCCAAAAATGTCGACGTGATGATTCAACGGTGCGAGAATCTCTGTAAGCATTCTAAAAGCTGGGAGGGGGGGGGGGCTCCCATGATATTCGAAGAAGTGATGATTCAAAGGCTGCGTTAATCTTCGTCAACATTCTAAACACCGGGGGGGGGGAGGTCCCCCGCTATGGTGATTTAATAAGCGGTGATTCAACAAAGGGTGCGTCCGCCGATTCCCAAAACTGATATTGAGAACCTCTCAAAAATGCTTCAGATTTCCTTCCTTCCTTGATTTCTTCCTGCCCTCCTTCACTCCTTTCCTCCTTCCCTCCTTCTCCTCCTTCTCCTGCTGGAATCGTTGCCTCGCCCGCAATACATGGAGGCGCTTGTCTTGTGCCTTGGGAATCCCCTCCCTTATGTGTGGAATTTGACAGCAAAGAATATGTTTCGGCTTCTTAAACGACACGACGCGCACGGAAGCAATTCCACAGTGACGAGCCAGAACAGTCAGAAGTTCAGAAAGTTGCGATTTGCATTCACGAGCACTGGCTCCAGGTACTGTCTCAATCTGTTGCTGAGTCATCGGAGACAGAGAGCCAGAGAGAGAGATAGAGAGAGAGAGAGAGGAGATGGGGAGGAGATGGAGATGGAGATGGATGTGAGAGATGCGCGAGAGAGAGAGAGAGAACGAGAGAGAGAGAGAGAGAGAGAGAAAGAGAGAGAGAGAACTAGAGAGAGAGAGAGAGAGAGCGAGAGAGAGAGAGAGAGAGAGAGAGAGAGGGGAGAGAGGGGAGATGGGGATGGAGATGGAGATGGAGATGGATGTGAGAGATGAGAGAGAGAGAGAGAGAGAGAGAGAGAGAGAGAGAGAGAGAGAGAGAGAGAGAGAGAGAGAGAGAGAGAGAGAGAGAGAGAGAAGAGAGAGAGAGAGAGAGAGAGAGAGAGAGAGAGAGAGAGAGAGAGAGAGAGAGAGAGAGAGAGAGAGAGAGGGAGGGAGAGAGAGAGGGAGAGAGAGACAGAGAGAGAGGAAGGGAGGAGGAGGGAGAGGAGGGAGAGGAGGGAAAGACAGGAGGAAGGAAGGAGCAGGAAAGGACAGGAGGGACGGAGAGAAAAAGGGGGGGGGAGGGAGCGAAAAGGGAGAGGTCAATGTTGGCGGACTGAGCCGGAGGCTTGAAAGTAAAAGGGCACGCCAACAGAACGCATCAGTTTGAACATTAAATGCACCCGCTTTTATCTGCGTGTTGCACTCATCATTTGCACGCGAAACAAGGCTGTCCGGAAGGTGTAGAGAAACCTGGTCCAGCGCCCACAAAAAAAAACACCCGGATTGCCGACCTGCCCATCCCGGAACCACCCATGTGCCCGGGCCCGCCCTAGCACTTCAAACAAGCGCCTTTAGCCTTAGCGCGCCTTGCATACTTATGTGCAGGCAGCGTAGGTTGAAGGCTCGACAGGCTAGCGCACCTCCAGGAGCGCGGTATACATTGAATGTCTGGATGGCATACGGTCCGTCAGTGTGCAATAAACTCTAATAAAGCAAGAAACCGGCTGGCCCAATAATTCAATTTAGACCAGTGAAAGAACCTTCAGGGCTCCAAAAATGACTTCCGTCCCCACAACAGTTTTGTTACGCCGCCCGTACGTGCTCTTTTACGAGGCGGGCGTTCTCAAAAAAAATGCAAAGGCAAAACCGTTCCCCTGCACAACGACCGTCACATCTTTCCTTCTCAGCCAAAACAGATGTCCGCAGGATCGCAAACCGGGCCACGGGCCAGGCACGCCCATTGAAACCTATCAGTTCTTGCCAACAGGTCCCCTTCCATCATTGGGCGCGTGCACACGGCTTTCAAACAAGGGCTCGGCTAAACCTCCAATACTTTCGCTAATACTTTCGCTTCTGGATATGACCGAGTCCTTGCCCAAGTCCATACATCGCATTATGAAAAGCTCAGATGTGCTGAAACACCCCCAGCAAAAAACAGCACTCAAATCTCAAAAAATGAAATCCCAATCCCAACAACACAATTGAAGCGGTCCTGAGCGAGGTCTCCCCGAAACCTTGGACTCGGATGGCCCCCCACCCGCACCGTGACCTCCCGGACTGCGACGGGTTCCGGCAGCTCCTGGGAGGCGCACTCCCGCGCCTCGCCGTTCCGCGCCACCGCCAGCGCCACGTCGCGGTGTTCTTGGAGCTCCTCGCCGCGCGGCTCCCGGGGTCCCAGGACCCCAGCGGCGGAAAAAGGAACTGAAAGCACACGCAATTGAGAGGAGAACGCTTCAAAATTATTCACACTGATGGGAAATTGGGAAATGAACACTTTGTCTGCCCGGGCTGGCCCTGGCCGAGCAACGAAAAGGAATAGACAGGAACGTAAACAAATGGAAAGAATGGAAAGGACATTGAAAGGAAACCTGGCGCTACTAATTTGGCTACGCATGGACTCCCATCGCTGGGCGCGTGCTGGGCAAACCAGCTCTGCCAGCGAATATCGCTGATTCATGGGTGCTGACTGTTTTGGAGACTTTGAAAGGCAATAAGTCTGCTGACTGTTTTGGAGTCTTTGCAAAAGCCATGGACCTGCTGATTGTGTTGAACCCTGAACTTATTTTGGACCCTGGTCCTGAGTTCCGCAAAGGAGACTCCCAGTGGGCGAGCGCTGGGCAAGCTATCTCTGCTACTCACCTCTTGATGGATTGAGAAAGTCATCAAACACATGTCTTTTTCATTCTGGACACGAAGTCTGCTGATTGCTTTGGAGCCTGCGAAAAGGCCATAATTCTGCTAATCGTTTTGAAGCCTTTAAAAGCGCCATAATTATGCTGCTTGTTTTGGAGTCTTTGACAAGGCCGTAAGTCTGCTGATTGCTTTGGAGACTTTGAACAGCCAACATACTTCTGCTGATTGTATTCAAGCCTTTGAAAAAGTCCATAAGTCTGCTGATTGTTGTGGAGTCTTTGCAAAGGCAGCAAGTGTGCTGATTGTTTCGGATTTGACAAGGCCAAAATTCTGCTGATTGTTTTGAAGCCTTTGAAAAGGCCATAATTCTGCTGAGAGTTTTGGAGCCTTTGCAAAGGCCATAAGTCTGCTGATTGCTTTGGAAAGGTCAGAGGGTCTGATTGGTTTGGAGTGATTGAAAAACCAGCAGGGTCTTGCAAAACGCCATAAGTCTGCCGATTGTGGTGAATCCTTGCAATCTGCGCTCCATTTGACCTGTTATTGGACTTGGTCCAAAGTTCTGGAAATGAGACTCCCAGCCCTGGGCGGCGCTGCTGAGAAGGTCATTTAAACAGTCACAGTCTCAATATGGGCATATTAAAAGGCCAGACCGACAGACCCCATCAGCTTAAAAATCTTCATGCAACCGCTTGACCTGCGCGTTGCCCAGCCGACTAGCTAGCACATGGCAGATCTGCTCCATCTCCAACAAAGCGCTGTGCAAAGCACAGCCAAAAGAAAATCTACCCCCATACTCGCAAAGATTCAAAGGTGGAAAGGCTGGCGCGCCGTCAGGCGCATGGTATACTGGATGTCTGAAGTCAGGATTTTGTCGCTTCTGGGGATGACCGAGTCCTTACCCAAGTCCATACATCGCATTACGAAAAGACCAGATGTGCTGAAACACCCCCAACAAAACACAGCCCTCAAATCTCAAATGAAGAAATCCCAGTCCCAACAACAACTCCTGAAGAGGCCCTGAGTGAGGTCTCCCCCCGGACCTTGGAATCTGACGGCCCCCCGTGACCCCTGGACTGCGACGGCCCCCCGACAGCTCCTCCGAGGCGTGCTCCAGCGCCCAGCCGTTCTGCGCCACCGCCGCCAGCACAAACTTTCTGTTGCCTTGGAGCTCCTCGCCGAGCGGCTCCCGGGGTCACAGGACCCAGCGGGGTGCGGTGGGGGGGGCGGCCCGGAGGATCCGCGTCGAGCTCCCGGCAGAACCGGAAGAAACGGCGCAGAACGCGCGGAACTCCGTCTGCTGGAAATGCAAAAAGGAACCGAAAAGGGCATAGAAAAGGGCATGGAAACAAACTTCAGAAAATCGAAAGGAGACCGCTTCAAAATTCTTCACACTGACTGGGAATTGGGAAATGAGCACGTCGCCTGGTCGGGCTGGCCTTGGGAGGCGCACTCCAGCGCCTCGCCGTTCTCCTCGCGGTTGCGGAGCTCCTTGCTGCGCGCCGAGGCTCCCGGGGGTCCGACGGGGCCGAGCGGAGTGCGGCAGGGG